GGTAACCCGCACCCCCGGTGGGAACTGCCCCCCGCCACTGCACGGCCCTGGCGGGCAGATGACATCCTGGCCAGGCCCCCACGCCTGCTGGACTCCCAGCCCTACCCTGGAGTCCCGCACCACGGCTCCTACGTGCACCCCCGGCCAGCCCGCCCCACGGGTGCTCCCGCCCACACCCACCAGGACTTCTATCCAGTGGTGAGTGACCCCAGGGGTTGAGTGCCCACTAGCCCCTGAGCTCTCAGGGAGAGTCGTCCGGGCCTGGGACTGCCCTATCTGGTGTCCACCTTCAAAGCCGGGCCTTGCTTTTGTCCTAAAGAGGCTGAGCTGGTGCATATGACAGCACTGGGGATGGAGGCCCCCAGCGAGCCTCTTCTGCAGAGGTGGCTGGTGAAGCTTGAGGACAGGGACTGGCTTAGGAAGTAGATGGGGAGGGTTGCCCCCAGCACACCAAACGTCTCTGCCGCCTGGCGCTGAGGGACCCCAGGCTGGCTCTCCAGGGTCCTGGTGGCTGTACACAGCCCTCCAGGTCCAGCCTGTGCTCAAACTACTGTTGCCTATGCAGGTTGGAGCAGGAGGAGGGCACGCAGCGGCGGGGGGGCAGGGGCGGTGCGGCCAAGACTGCTGACCACGGCTCTCCCGCAGCTGCACCTGATTGCACTCAATGGGCCACAGTCCGGTGGCCTACGCGGCATCCGCGGTGCCGACCTCCAGTGCTTCCAGCAGGCGCGTGCTGCGGGGCTGGCAGGCACCTTCCGTGCCTTCCTGTCCTCACGCCTACAGGACCTCTACAGCATCGTGCGTCGTGCTGACCGTGCCACCGTGCCCATTGTCAACCTCAGGGTGAGCGTACTCCCCTGTGCATGGGGCTTCCAGAGCTGGGATGAGGGACCTGGGGGTCAGGGCTCACTGGGCCGGTCACGCCCTGAGAACCCAGCGAGGCCCCGGGCCACAGCGTCCTTCACGTGGCTTTATTTTGCGGCTCTTCGCCATTGCCACGTACTTTTTGGCTGCTCTGGAACACCAACGTTTCAGGACCACAGGTGGGCTCTCCCCAGACCTGGGGTCCAGGCTGGGGAAGGTGCCTGGTCTGCCAAGGCACCTGGCCGGGGGTGTGACCAGAGATGGGTAAACCGGCCCCACATCCCTTCACAGGACGAGGAGCTGTTTCCCAGCTGGGAGGCCTTGTTCTCGGGCTCGCAGGGCCAGCTGAAGCCCGGGGCCCGCATCTTCTCCTTCGACGGCAGAGATGTGCTGCAGCACCCCGCCTGGTAGGTGCCCTCTTGTGAGTGCAGCAGCTGGAGGTGGAGGGGCTCTGGATCTTAGAGAGTCCAGGCTGGCGTGCAGACCCCTGACTCTGCACCTCTGTCTCCAGTCTGATCCCATACCTAACATGTGCTCACTATTTAAAACGCGCAAGATTCATAACTGCATTAATGCTACAAAGCACCCTCAGTACGAAACACGACTGCCAGCCTGCTCCCTGGGCAGGCCCCCCACTGCTGCTCTCCGGGAGGCTGGCCACTGGCCAACGCCCCAGGGGCCTGCCAGGATTACCCAGCTCCCACTGTCTGTCACGTACATACCACAGCGAGTGAGTTCTGTAAATTCCCCAAAGTGGAATTTCCCACTCAGAGGATGTATGCACTTCAAATACTGGTGAAAACTGTCAGTTTGCCCTCACACCCATCATCCCTGTGCTGGCCCAGTGTGAGGGCACCTGCTTCCCCAGCACATGCTCCTAAATCGTGGCTAGTGTGTCCGACAAGGGCATGCCCTGCCCTCACTGAAAAGCACCCAGCCCTGAGGGACCAGTCTTCAGGGTCACAGAGTCTGCTCCCCAGGCTGTGCCCCCAAAAGCAGTGGCAGCACGGGGTTCAGTCCAAGGGTCCAGTGACTGGGGATAGAATGGCTCCCTGCCACCTCCACATCCAGCCACGACCTCTGCCCTTTTCTGCCTGGGGGTGGCCTCCATCCTGGGAGTAGCAGGTCCAGTGAGATTGACAGCCCATGTGTCCTGCAGGCCACAGAAGAGTGTGTGGCACGGCTCAGACCCCAAGGGGCGCCGGCTGACCGAGAGCTACTGTGAGACCTGGCGGACTGAGGCCACAACAGCCACGGGCCAGGCCTCCTCGCTGCTGGCAGGCAGGCTATTAGAGCAGAAAGCCGCAAGCTGCCACAACGCCTTCATTGTCCTCTGCATCGAGAACAGCTTCATGACCTCCTCCAAGTAGGGCTTCTGCCAGCTCACGTGGACGGATGGACAGTTGGTCAGACGGCAGGGGGAATGGAGAAGCCCCCGGTGCCAGGCAGGGAGCAGCAGCCGGCACCCCAGAGAGGGGACCTGGCTGGGACACTTTCCTGTGTGGTTCACATTTCATATAATCCTCCAGAAATAAAAGAAAGCCAAAGAGTGTATTTTTAAAAAAGTTTAAAACAGAAAGGCTGGTGCAAACTCTTTCTCCTGCCCTAACCCCTCCCACGCCCTAGCTGGCTTGGTCTGGTTATGCAGGGCGCAGTCCTCAGATTAGACCAGGGGGCGCACTCCACTCTGTTCTCTTGCCACCTCCGGCACTCACTGCCCTGGGGCGGTATGTGTGCCCTGGGTTCCCAGTGGGTTTTTCAATTACCCTAGGCAGGTGCTGACTTAGTTTCCTGCCTGAAACCCCTTCTTGTGTGCAAAACCCAGATCTGCCTGCAGACCAGCCGTGGCCTCCCTCAGCCCTTCTCTGCCTGGCCCAGTGGCTGTGCCAGCTGTAGAGAATGGCCCTCCCTCCCAGCTGGCCAGCAGTCAGGACAACGCAGGCCTTGGGTGCAAGGGGTGACCTCCTCCCCTTGGCCTCTTGCAGCAATGCCCCACTTCCACTGGAGCAGTTCCCAAACTCAGTGTCCCTTTGCTGATTGGTTCCTGGGGAAGACCTAGCACCCCACCCCCATGTTGTATGTGCAGGTGGTCTGTGCATCCCTTTTTTACTGGAGCCAGCTTTGCACCTTGCAGTCTCTGTCCCATGCTGGCTCACCAGGTGACCTGTGAGGTCACAAAGAGTGCAGAGCTTAACACAACCATGGCTGTGCTGGGTGTTTTGAGGGGCCCACAAACTAGGGCATGATAGCATCCCCTGCTCCAACCCTAACCCCACACCCAGCACCCCTTTTCCAGAGTGAGACTTCCGACACCCACACAGGCTCAGCTCTGCCTCTCCCTGGCCCGAATGCCTCCTGCTGAGCACTGGATGGAGACTGGAGGGATCACAGCTGAGGCAGGACAGGACAGGACAGGTCTGGATTGTTTCCCACACACAAGCCGTGGGGGTGGGCCGCATGTTTTGCCCTGCTCACCACTGTCCGCAACAATGCATCTCAGAATTCATGTCGGTCCTTGTGGAAGGACTTCAGGGATATTTTGGAGTGCACATGGGTCTTTATTGGGGAACTGGTGGGTGTCCCTCTGGTGGCCATGCTGGAAGGGGTGGCAGGCAAGAGCCCAACTCCTTTGCCTTGAGGTCTGCTGTCCATGTACTGCAGCCATAAAACAGGAGCTGGCGCTGGTGATTGACATAGTTCCAAAGAGCCTCCAAATGACCATGTATGCAGACACTGGTTTGCAAGCAGCCTTCTCTGTCCTGAGACCAGTCCTTGGGGGCCTAAGTCCCCATACAGCCAGCAGGCAGACCCCGAGGGAGCCCAGGTGTGCGGTGTGCAGACACACACAGCTATACATGGGTATGCATGGAAGCCCGAGTGTACAGAGGTGCCGAGTACACATGACCACTCTCCAGTCTTGCTGGGGCAGCAGCCTTCCCAGGCCTGTCAGGGGGCCTGCCCTGGGCTCCCACACCCAGCACCGTGCTCTCTCACAGCTGCTGCAGCTGGCCAAGCTCCACACGTCTGACGCCGAGGGGCTGTGCACACTGCACAGAGCAGGCCCTCCCTTGTACCCCAGGAACAAATGCCACCCCTGCTCTCGTGGCCATGGGGCTTGGGACCAGCAAGGGTGGTTCTGGGAGCCTGGAAGCAGGGTCTGAGCTGCAGGCCTTGCAGTGCACGTGGAGAGGCTGCAGAGGGAGCCAATGGGCCAGCTGCTGGGGATGTTCTTGTGGGGGAAGGGCCTGCATCCCAGGGCAAGGGCACAGAGCCCTGAATCATGGGGTCATGGATGAGAGGTGAGACCTCACACCCTGCAACCAACCCATAAAGTCCTGCTTGCCCTCCAAACATAAAAGCAAAACGGTGCTGGGACCTGGGCTCAGTGCTGCCCCTTCCCAGCAGTGTCGGGGACGGGGGCGGCCTGTGTGGGCACACCTGGGGGCCAACCCACCAGCCTGACCCAGTCAGCCGTAACTTGGGCCAACCCATGTATACCCTCCTCCTCCACTCTCAGGGCATCCGAGGTGATCCCTTCAGCCAGGAGCGTGTTCCTGACTCTTTGAGCCAAGCTGGCACCAAGGAGCGGCCTTTCCTCCAGATCCTGATGGTTCGGGAACTGCTCGGCTGCCTCGCCCTACATGAGGGCAGAGTCATGGGAAGGGCAGCATCAAGGACACAGTGGGACCTCGTTAGATCCCTTCCTGTCTGGTGGCAGGGGCTGGGTCCCTTTCTTGCTCTCCAGGTGGACCCCAGTGCCACAACCCTCCAGGCCAGCTTGGAATCGGGAACCCCTCACACTCAAGTCACGTGGTTTGTTGAATGTGTTTCACGTCTCCCATCTCCTGCAGCACCACTGGTTCCCAGAGCCCCAGGTGGCAGGTCCGCCAGGCTGGTCTGTGAGCAGCCCAAGTGGCCCTCTGTCACCCATGAAGCAGGCCAGTGTTAACCCACCTCAGGAAGGGAGATGTTGAAGGGCTAGGGGCAAAGGAGCCAGCTCCCAAAGACCCCAGCACTCACGCTTCTGCCTAATAAGGAAATAAATGTCTGCCTGTCCCGCCCAGTTTCATCCACAGAAACAGAAGTCCAATGAGGTTTCTCATTTATGTTAAAAAAAACAAAAACACAGCGTTGTTTAACATTCTGGTACCTGGACGTCTAGAAATGTCACTTAGCCATGGGCCCTGGGAATCTGGGATACCACCCCTCCCTACAAGGCCCATGGCATCCTACACGGGGCTGGTGTCCCCTGGGCTGGCATCGGGGGTCACTTGACCGGTACCTAGGAACAAGTGGGATCTGCCTCCCAAGGGGGATGAAGGTGGGCCAGCCTGGTGGGCACATGGAACTGTACCACCAGCCATGTGCAGGCAGGAGACACAACCCAACCCTCAGTGGTCTTGCAGCTGCCAGTGTCCCCAGCAGGCTACGGAGCACAGTCAGAATGTGAAGCCTGAGAGGCTCAGGGCCCGGGGACACTGCAGGGTAAGCAAAGGCTCCTCTGGCTGAGGCAGGTGGCCCTCAGGGTGTGTGTCACAAGGGTAGACCACACAGGGGCCCCATTGGTCATTGGTTGCGTAATCTGAACAATGGAATTCAAACAACGCCAGAAACCCATCTTCTTGATTCCAAGAGAGAGGAGGGGCAACCTGCTCACGACGTGACAGCTTTCAGATGTCAAGGCTCCAGGCTCAGTGAGAATGTTGGAGGATGCAGAGCAGGTGGCTTCTGATGTCAGGAATCTGGCCACCCACTGGGTTGGGCAGACAAAGCAGGCCAGCTCAGGCCTTGGCCTCAGGCAGCTCCCTCGAGACTGGCCCTTCAGTCCACGCACTGTCCTCCGGGGCCAGGGCAGTGGCTTCAGGCTGCACGTTGCTGAGGACCCCATCCTCCTGGTCCAACGCCGGGACAGCCTTCTCCTTCAAGGGGCTACTCAGCTCCTGGGCCAGGGGCAGGGGCTGGTGGCGGTCCTGGTGGGAGTGCCACAGGATCTCCAGCGCAGCCCCCAAGAAGTAGATAACGGACAGCACCACGAAGTACACAAAGTAGACGAGGAACTGGAACAGAGAGGTGCAGCGGGGTGAGGAGCAGCCTGGGAGGTGAGGGGGCTTTGGAAGGGGGACGGGTAGTGGGAGACTGGGAGGGGGCAGTTGGGGGCGGGACATGTGGATGTACCAGTGTATTTTTCCCTCTCCCTCCTCCTGCTCAGAGGCCACGGGGACACAGCTATGGTGGGATGGGCACCCAAGGATCAGAGGCCAGCCCAGGAGCAGGTTCCCCAATGCGAAAATTCCCCTAACCACAGCACACACAGCACTGTGGGGGGTGGGGGACGGCTCCCACCACTTTCTCGCAGAACCGCAGCACTTTTGCTGCCTCTGTGATCTATACCCAGGCACTCTGCTCATTTTATGGGACACACAGTGCACTTGGCTGCGTGGACGGAGCTCCCACACTGCTGAGGGCTTGTGGCCATCGTGCATGTGGTGGAGCCTAGTCAAGGACAGGCAGCCTGAACCCCGGGCAGCCCCTACACAGCGAGCCAGTGGCCGCCCTGGTGATAGGCAAAGCTGCACAGTAGTGACACAAAGGTATGCACACCCAGCCTACAAAAATGCCCTTCCTGGTCCTCACAACCACCAGGGAGACAGGAGGTCCAGGTGATCTCGAGGTGTCTGTGGGCCAGACCAGGCTCAAGTCCCTCCCTGAGCCCCTCATGGCAAAAGCACCCCTAGCGCTTCTAAGAAATCTGCTTATTTCAAAAGTAAACCAGAAAGGGAACTGTGGAAGACTTTGCTCCCAGGGAGACGGAGCCTCATGTTTCCCATATTTTTCCCCGGTATGACTGCAACCCTGGACACTACACAGCAGACACATAAGAAAATGACTCTGAAGACGAGGGACAGCCCAGCCACGGACCCCAGAGCCTGAGGCACAGCATGGCGACATACAATAGGTCCTGGGCTTTGTTTCCTTTTTGCTGCAGGTGTTTTGAAACCAAAGAAGACTGCAACCCAGAAATGGCAACATAGATAGAAAAAAAACCCCACAAAGCTGCTCTCTCTGCCAGGCGACCAGGACAGGGATAGCCCAGCAAGACAGGAAGTGACAGACCAAACAGCCCTGCTCCAGGCAGACCCACCCTCATTACCCAGGCTGTAAAGAGGCCCCGGCCACGTGGGGTGGTACTGCTCGGGGCCCAGTGGGGAGCTGCAATGTTCACCCCACAGAAGCCAAACAGGAAGTGTGGACCTTTACTCGCACCGGGTGGTAACGGCCCCCGCCTCACCCATGTGGACTCAGGACTTTCACTGCTAGCCAGGAGTAGCAAGAACACCACACCCCGTATTCAACCTTCTGAAAGCTAAAGACAAAGAAGAAAATCTTGAATGTAGCCATTTAAAAAACAAAATGACACCTTAGGGAAAAAAACAATTAGAATGACAGAATTTTGCATCACAAACTATGAAGACCACAAGGAAGTGGCATGTGCTACTTTTTTCAGCATTTTTCACATGGTAAAAAAAAAAAAGCTGTCAGCCCAGAAGACTCTATCTTCAGGAATACCTTTCTTCAGGAAATCAAGACATTCTCAGATTTAAAAAAAAAAAAAAACTAAGCAAAGAATTTGTCACAAGTAGACCTACCCTAAAACAATGGCTAAAGGTGGTTTTCTTAACTGGAAGGGAATGGAGAAGACAGAACCTTGATTCAGCAGGAAGAAGAAAGAACACAGTGAGCAAAATCATGGGTACAGATCTTGGTTGCCAGGGGCTGGGGAGGAGAGGGGTGGCAGTCAGGTGGCGGGGCCGTGAAAGTGCAGCCTGAGGGATCCTGAGGGACCCCGAGGGATCCCGAGGGAAGGGAACCTTCTGTTTCTTCAGAACCGCAGGATGTGACCAGTGGGGAAACTGAAACGGAGGTATGTGGATCCCTGCATTACCTCTTACGCTGCGTGTGAATGAACAGTTATCCAAAAACTGGAAGTCCACTTTAGGAAAAACAAGCACACCCAGGCCAGCTCCGGGCCATGGGCCTGCATGCTGTGCCTTCTCTGAACACGAACATCTGCCCATTGTCATGGCTCAGGATGAAGTGAAAGGGACAGAGCGGTGAACAGAAAAGGAGAGAGGGTCAGCTGGAAGGAACTGTACCTCCTGGACCCCATCAGCATTTCTAACTGAACAAACTGCCCCACTTCTAGAGTTACTTTTTAACCCGGAATTGAGTTAAATTGATGTATTACTCTTGATTTGACTCCACAGAGAGCCATCAAGTGTGGGGGGCTGAGACAAGGACAACTGAGGAAGGCCCAGCCTTTGGGAACACTCTCCAGGCCCTTCCTACCCAGTCATGGGACCCTCAGAGGCCCTACTACTGAGCAGGGACAACTGAGGGCTCCGAGGAGGGCAAGGGGCTCCTCCAGGTGCTCGGGCTCCTCCCGGGCCAGCGGGACAGCTGCCAGGCAAGGCTCCCTGGGAAGGCCTGGGGCCAAGGGCGCTGCCCCTGCGGGGGGAGGCTTCCCCTAGATGGTGAGGAACTGCGTCAGTGAAGGAGGCTCTCGACCCACCCCTCCCTGAGCACAGGGCTCATGCCCTCCAGACAGCCCCTCCCAACACTCACAGCGGCACACGCACCTGTGGACCAGAGTCCTGTTGGGCCACGCGGCACTTTGCCAACCCTGCTCAGGGTGGACAGTGTGCAATGTTCAGCCCGGGGGAACTGGGAGGTGGGCAGTGTGCCTGGAGGGCCCTGCAGAAGCAGGCCCGAGACCCAGCTGCCTGTGTGGACGTGAAGCATGAGACATTCTGATGTTCTTCGCCTAAAGGGCATTTCCAAATGCCACTCAAAAAGCCCTCTTCCTCAGGAGGGTCTTTCTCACCTGCATCTCTTTCCTAAACAGCTACGGGGTCAGTGAGGCAATGCTGACCCAGCACCCTCAGACAGAGGGTCAAGGCATCTCATGGCACCCACCAAGCCCGAAAGCCCTCCCACCCAGTGAGGCCCTGGCTCCAAACAGGTGGAGGCTGCGCCCCCGCAGGCCGGCTACCCAAGACCTCAGTTTTAATCCTCCTGCTGGCCCATCCTCTGGCCCAGTTCACTCAGAGAGGTCCTGCCTTGGCTGAGGAAACCAAGAGTCACATGTGAGTGTTCTCCACCTCACAGCAGACGTAAGAGTCACACATGTCAGTATCCCCCACCTCACAAAGGACAGGCATTCTCAAGTTCTTCCCAGAAGCACCCAGACCTGGCCTGGGGTAGACGAAGAGAGACTGAAGAAGGGCCAGCAGACACCAATGTGACCCCACTGGCTCTACTTTCATCTGTCCTCAGTAAAGAAGACAAACTGCTGTCATGTGAATGAGGGACTGGGTCTCACGGGCCTTGACATCATAGGCAAAGACCTTAAATGAGGGTGGTAACCTGTGACAGCACAGGAAAATGGCCCACAGCACACCCTCGTCCTTCCCAGGACATCAGCCATTGTAGGGGATGCCCAGGGCCCAGAAAACCTCCAAAGAGGACCTGCATCCAGGCCCAACTCAGGCCCCACAATTCCAGCTGGAGTTGGCCGCGCCCTGCCCAGACACGGGTAGTGTTACAGCCCCAACCTGGGCCCAGGAGGGAGCAGTGCATACCGGCACAGCGGTTGCCAGATCATGGCTCCCTGGCTCTGGTCCTCCGACCCCTCTCTCCCTGCTCTGGGCCTCTCACTTCATGTCCCTGATCCGACTCAGTAAGCCCAATGTATCAAGCTGGGAATGCCCAGCCCACACCGTGCGTGCTCCCTGCCCTCGGTGGATCTGTGGGATGGGTCCTAAGGAGGGGGTTGGGTGGGTGCCAGGAGGCCCTGGCTCAGACACTGCCCCAGTGTCCCCATCCCCTGAGGAAGCATGCCCAAACGGGGGCTCACCTGAGAGCGGACGGGAAGGCCAAGGCCCCGCTTGTCAGAAACGATGAGGGTGATGATGGTCTTGAGAATGGTGGCGAGGAATGTGTTGACTCCGAAGACCAGGGCACAGAGCTCCTTAGAAAGAGAAGACGCGATCTGAAAACTTAATAGGAAAGCAGGCAGAGATCAGCTCATCTGGGAGGATCGAGAAGTGCCCGCAATACAAAGAGGAACCCTGGGCTGCCATTGGCTGCCAGAAACAGTCATGTGGTCTGATGACTGGCCATGCCCACTAAGGCCACTGGAGACCAGCAAGACCAGCCCAGAACCCAGGCCACCCTCCGCATCCTCCTTCAATGACTCAAAATGAGCACAACACAGTGCCAAATGCAACCTTGGGAAACCATTTAGGAAGTCTCCTAGTAACGCTGACACAGAGTGAATCACATTCCCTACAGCATTCTCAGAAAATCACCCTCAGGAGAATGGGCAGAGCATCATGAGGAAAATTCTGGAATTAAAGTCTTTAATGATCTTAAAGTCATTAAATGATTCAATAAATCAGAGAAGGAACAGGTAAATAAATAAGGAAATCAGAAGGGATTAATATGCTCAGAGTTCCTGGTACTCTGAAAAGAAATTAATATTTGAATGTACTTCCAATTAAAATCCCAAAAGTGCCTTTAAAAATAACGACCAGCCCTGGCCGGTGTGGCTCATTTGGTTGCAGTGTGGTCCCATAAACCAAAAGGGCTGTTTGATCCCCAGCGGGGGCACGTATGAGAAGGCAGCCTATCGATGTTTCTTTCTCACATGAATGTCTCTCTCTCTCTCTCTCCTGCCATCTTTCTCTTAAAAGGAAAAAAAAAAAAAAGTCCTTGGGTGATAATAATGATGACTAAACAAGAAATATTCTAAAGTTCAGAAGAATAAACAAACAAAAATACCCAAGAAGTCCTTAAAGGGAATGACTGAAGCCAAGGGCCTCCTGCTGTATTGGGGTCTGGGCAGCAAGAAACACATGAAACACCAGAATGAGCAATCACATGACAAAGACTGCACACAAACTGAGAGGAGACCTCATCAATCAAAGGTCTGAGAGGACAGATTAATCCCTGGCAAACCGGAGTTGGGTCCAGCCCCACCAGCACAGCAAATGCCGCACCATCCACCAAGAGTTTCACACTGTAAATTCCGTAAGCAGGCTTAAAGGCAAAGCATAACACACGTGATTAAAGGCTCCTATCACATGGAAGATATATGTGTGCTATGGGTAAATAAGGAAAAAAGAAATCCCAGCAGAGAGAGTCCACAGCTATGAAGTGGCCACTAACACCAGGGAGGAGCCAGCCCTGCTGCACGAAGAAAAGGCCAGCTGGCCCTCAAGTCACAGGGGTCGGGGCCTGCCCGGCAGGCATCTGCAGTATTGACCAACACCCCCTTGCTAAAGCACATGCCTTTTGACCTAGGCAGTCCCTTTCTAGGAACATCTGAGGCTATTATCAGAATTTGGAAAGAAAAATGCAGGTTGAGAGGATACTGGATCTCAGTGTTGCCTGTCATAGCAAAATGCTTAAGATGGCATCCCCATCAGTTGGCTATTAGCCATGTGACATATCACTTGTCACAAAGAGGACCAAATACACCTGCATTTTGGACAGCTAAACGAGAAGGTTGTCTTCTAGCAGGAGTATGGTCAGGGTCTGCCAGCACCTGGCCCTGAGGAGAAGGGCGGGAAGGACACTGGGTTTGGTCCAGGCTCTCAGGTCCCAGGGCAGGTGCAGGCTGGAAGTGTGGGTGCTGGCACAGAGGAGTCAGGCCACTACACCATGGGAACCAGGGCAGGAAGGCTAGGAGGAAAACCTTCGTGAGGACCAGTCCCTGTGGACACCAAGTGGCCTCAGTGGGAGGAGCAGAGAATATGTCATATAGGAGGGCTCCTTGCTGAGCCTCAGGGTCATGGCAGGCAGCTGGAACCAATGTGCTGCGGACAAGGGGACAATTGGGCCCCTGGCTAAAGCTGTCCAGGATTCACTGCTCCTCCCACCATCAAACTTGCTTCATACTGCTGGGCATATACTCCTTCTACTCCCCAGAGAACATTCAAGAAGGGAGGCCTGTTAATGCACACAGATAGCCCATCAGTCCCCGCCCTTAAGTCAGATGGTATGTGGCCCTCCAGCAGCCCTCTGTCTACCAGGTCCCGGGCCCTGGCCTTTTAGTGGCTGCCTGGGCCAATGGCCGCTTGTCCACCGCACACAGCCCAACTCACATGGCGATGGGTACCATGAACTGGTAGGTGCCGCGGAAGAGCACAAAGGCCACGTAGCACAGGCTGATGCTGGTCGTGCGGTGCATGAGGAAGACCAGCCCAGCCTGGAATGCTGTCAAGACTCCAATGACTAGCTTTGCCCACAGGGCCCAGCGGATCTTCACAAAGCCTGCCGCAAAGGCGGTGATGGCACCTGGGGAGACAGGACAGTCATTGTCATCCTCCCAGGGTGGATGGGGCAGGTAGGGCAGGTGGTAGGAGCCAGCTGTGCGTACCTAGCAGAGTAGAGGCGGCGTCCACCCCACCATTGTAGACCTTGGTGCTGTCTGTGGTGGGCTCAACAACATTCCACAGGATGTGCACATAGTAGACGATTAGGTAGTAGCCAGCCGAGTTAAAGACCCACCAGAGGGACCAGAGACGTAGCTGTGGCAGCCGCAGGCTGTTCCCCAGCTCCCGAAGCATGCGCACAAGGGTACAGTCCCACCAGGCTGCCAGCAGTGTCCGGCCAAGCTTTCTTCCTGCGGGCCAGCCAGGTCCTGGGTGCATCTGGGCCAGCTCGGAGGGCGAGGCCCCGCTGTGTACAGACTCACTGTTGTTGAAAAAGAGGCTGCGCTTGGGGCGCTTCAGGAAAATCGTGAGGATGAGGGTGAAGGTGAGGAAGGCCAGTGAGATGTAGTTGAGCATGGTGAAAGAGACTCTCCCCACAGTGACGAGCAGCTGGCCCAGCACGGAGCTGGTGAAGACGCCCAGCAGCACTGCAGCCCTCGAGTAGCCAGCCATACGCTGATAGTGGGCAGGCTGCACGAGAGAGAAGATGTAGGAGGAATAGGCGATGCGGGCAGCCATGGTAAGGCTGAAGAAGAACTCCATGAACTGCATGTGCAGCACAGAGTGGCCGAAGAGCAGCAGCAGCCACACAGAAATGTAGCTCAGGCTCTGCAGGAGCAGCACTGGCTTGTAGCGCAGGTAGTCCGTCAGCAGGAACATGGGCACCAGCACTGCCAGGTAGGAGTAGGATAGCACCGGCGTGATCTCGTTGGTGACCTGCGGGATGGCAGGCTCGTGACCCCACGCAGCTTGGCACTACAGCCACCGATGAGGCCCTTTGGTAGGCCCCGCCCACCAGAGCCACACAGTGAGTGTGACTGTCTGCTAACACCAGTACAGGAGGCCAGCAGGCTCCAAGGGTCAACTTTACAGATGGAAACCAAGGGCCAGGGGAGAGCCCCGGTCAGCATGTGTGGCCCACCTGGAAGCTGGTTGGACCCATTCACTCCAGCTGGTTTACCCATGGTTTCTACAGCCCTGGATCTGTCCACCTGGATGTGCTGCTGAGCCTGCTGGAGCAGCACACCCAAGTCTGTCCTCAGGACCCCAGAATGGACACGCATGCTGACAAGCCTCTAGGGGCTCAGAGGGTGGCTGACAGGACACCCTGACTGAAGCTTTCTGTCTGGCAGCCTCCTGAACCCACATGCCCATGGGAAGCCAAGGCTGACCCTCAGGACTATGGTCCCCAAAACACCAAGCAATGAAGTTCCCCTGGGATATTCCTGGTGCAAGTCAGTCCCCTGGGGAAGATGAATAACCTGTGTTTGGTCATTGACAGCCATGGCTCAGTTACAGCTACCCAGGCCGAACTGTTCATTAAAAATTCTGGGAACATCAAACAGTCCCTCCTTGATAAGACCTACTGGCAGATGACTTGCTCAGGCTGGGGAACAGCCTGCTGTTAGAGCCTGAGGGGCGGGGCGGGGTCAGAGAAGAGGACCTGCTGGTCTTTCCTGTTTCCTCTCCCATTCCCCACCTCCTGCAGAGGACAGTGCCCACCAAGGGGCCACAGGTCTGGGAGCCCACAAAGTCCCTGGAGCAGATGGTGTCTGTTAAGAGACCCAGCACCGGCAAGAGGTCAGCCTACTACTGGCCCGAGCCAAGTCTCCCAGAGGCATTCCCAAAGGAAAGGGAGGGAGGCGTAGTACAGGGACAGCCAAGAAACATGCCGTGGCAGAAACCGAGGAAACAGCAGCTATCAGATGGGCAGAAGGTCAACAGGGCAAGAGGGGCAAGAGGGAAACTGAAAGCTGCAGCCACAGGCAGAAGGAGCAGGTGTCAGTGTCCAGGACACTGTAGCATCATCCCTCAAGGGTGACAAACTGAGACCAGAGGTACCGGGTAACTCTGTGGTTTAATCCCCTAGGGTGCAACTTAGGTAAGACAGTCTTTGACCCACATGGTCCTGGCAGCACCAGCTCATGTGCTCTCCCAGACAGAAGCCTAGTCCATCTCATGATACTCGAGCTTGGTGGAATGGCTTCATTTCTAGGATCTACCATATAATCAGTTCACATGCCACCTGGGAGGGCAGGTGAATGGGACTTACAACTTTTTTGCTATAGACATTTTTCCTGTTATCTTAATAGAGCTTTACATGATTTCTGTAACCACCACAGCAGACAACGCTCCCCCAACTCGTGAAGATCAGATTAGTATTCTGAGGAAGGAGAGCCCTCCGGCTGACCAACGAGCCAGGGACATGAAGGACTGGTTACTGAGAGGAGCCCCCAGAGGGTATGGGGGGCACAGGAGACAACCCCGCAGGCCCCAGACCCAGCCTCACCTGGGAAGTGACTGGCTCCAGCAGCCAGCACTGGCCATGGGATCAGACACAGTGACAGACAAGCAGGGCTCCGAGTTCGTGTGGGCCAGTATGTGGCCATTTCTATCTTTCCAAGATGGCTACTTGGAAAAGACAGGCTGCATTTGCACAGCCACCTTATTTGACTTCAAAGTATTTGATGGTCTGCAAGGGGTAGGGGCCAAGCTCCAGGCCAGGGAGAAGCAGGAGCTTCCTGAAGAAATGAGGGCCACACTGGGACCCAGGAGAGTCCAGCAACAGTGACGGGGGTGGGGAGGCCGGTGGCCACACTGGAAGGGCAGAGAAGGCTGAGGGGAGGGGGGTGAGCAGCCCAGGACCAGCTCTGACAGGGACCAGCTCTGGGGCAGTGCTGGGGGTCCTCAGGTGGGCGAGCAGGGTGATGACCAGAGCTTGGACAGGGGCCCTGACTGTGCGCTTCATCAACGACAGCCTGAGTTTCTGTTTTATTTTATGGAGAAGGAAATAGCAAAAGTTGAAAGAAAGCGCTAGGGCTAGAGCCTGCCCTGCCTGGTCCTCCTACCACCACAATTCACCTCTGGTATAACCTTACTAGTCAGGTTTCAATAAGAGCCTTTGTCCTCCTTGCTGAGCAAAGAAAAATCCCTTCAGTAATGTCTTTAGGTAAAGGGCTGCTGAGTCTCTGCTGGAAGCAGGTGCCAGGCAGGTGGGCACACTCTCACCCCCTGGCATTCCTCCCTCAGAGACCGGCAGCCACCTCGGACCTCCACTGTGGCCAGTGTCACTCTTTAACTGGCCTGGTTAATGAGTGAGAGCCAGGCCCCTCAGTGCCACATGCGGGACTGGGGACAGGACCCAGGATACCACATGACCGCCTAACCTCCACAGCCCTAGCTGCTTCCCCGCCCGGGGGGTGCTCCTGCCCACCATACCCCTTGTTCACAGGCCCGTCCTACCCGCCCCGAGCCCACGTGCCTGCTTCCGTGTGAAGTTCTTGTCAGGGCCCAGGAGGTAGGGGGTGATGAAGCTCTCTCCGGGCCGCATCTGGGCCATGAAGCCGTAGAAGCAGAGAAAGAACACCAGGCACTGCCAGGACTGAAGCTCGTGGCCTGGCCCGGCCTCTGGTCCGGGCTCCGGCTGGGGCTCCAGGGCCACCGGCTTCTCCACTGACTGGCTGGAGGGTGCCATGCTGCCCAGGTCCCACGCAGCCCTGGAGAGACTGAAGGTGACGCTGGCCCTGGAGGGAAGAGCAGAGAGTCAGGGCGGATCAGCAGCTCTCAGACACCGCCCCTCCTCCCTGGCTGAACCCTTTCTCACTCAGCATTCCACACCCACATGGAGTTGGGGAGAGGAGCCCACAGACCCAAGCCCCATGCTCTCAGCCTGGAGTCAGTGACAATCCGGATGCCATGTCCACCCAGACTGGGCTGTAACCACCTCCAAGGAGTCTCCAGGGTTTCCTGGTCCCGTATGGTAACCACCAGCCTTGTGGGGATGCTTCAGTGTTAACTAAAACTAAATGCAATTTAAAGTGCAGTTTCCCAAGCACTTTATTTTGCGTGCTCATAACAGGTGGGCTGGGCGCACATCCTTCCCCAGGAGCAGTCTCAGGGACAGCCTGCTCTTGCTGTCCCATTGACCTCCTGAGGGACTCCATGCACAAAACTGGGGGATGGGCAGACGGGGTTTGTAGGTAGAACCCAGAGCAGGAGGGGAGACAAAGGGAGGCGCAGGAGCCAGAGAGTAGTGTGGTCGGGTAAAGGGGACAAACGGAGCTCCAGACCTGAGCTGAGGGAGGGTGGCCTCAGCCAGGGGCACTTTGGGAGGCGCCTCCATGTGGTGCAGGCGTGACGGCACCATTTCTACGCCCACAAATTACCCTTTCTAACAGACGGGCAGGTAATCATGTCTAGTGAACCAAATACAAAGTTAACTGCTGTCTGTTTTTATTACTACTTCTGTATATGCTACATGATATTGGTTTTCCATTAAGGCACTGATACAAAGTTCACTTTTAAGTGAGAGGGTCAAAAATCAAACTGCCATGAAAACTGGGTCAGGCGAAGAAGGCTGCCCATGCTAAGCAGGCACGGTGAGAATGAGGAAGGGTCCACCTTCCCCATGGCTCAGAAGGAGTGGGGACACACTGGGTGTAGAGATGGACAGGCTGAGAGATGTTGGGACAGCTCTGTGTGCCTTACTGCACGGCCTGTCCTGGGAGGGTGACTGTAGAGGGTCTGGATTTGGGGAGACATTCCCTCCAATTCCCAAGCAGTGGACACTAAAAATTCCCAAGATGTGGGAGCTGGTGCTCGGGAAAAGCCACCAGGTTCTGGGCACTCGATCCAGCGTGCTGCTCAGAAACCATCCAAGAAGGGAACGTTCCCACGTTCCTCCCTGGATGAGGCTCAGGAAAACCAGGTGAGCTCACAGACCCCCAGGGGTTACCAAGGGCAGAGAGAGACTCATGCCAGACCTCTGATGATGCTGCACAGACCTAGGGCCTCAGCAAAGAGAACTGTGGTTGGATGAGTGAGATTCCTTCACCTTCTCAGCTCCCATATTTCTGTGACTCAGGAAAAATGAGGTGGGGGGACGGTAGTGAAATGTCTTAAGAAACCAGGTCTGGCGGGTTTGTTTGTGGGGCCACAAGGAAAGGCAGAGCAGAGGCAAGAGGCAGCTTCAGGAATTCCAGAGAATTTCAAAGGGAAGAGGTGATGGGGGTTAACAGTGGCCCCAGAGTTACAGGGTCCTGGGACGGCCCCCCACCATTTCAAGGGGCCAAACGAAACAATCAGCCAGGCAAGGGAGCGCGAAGCTGGCCACCTCTCCCTCAGCACACAGGTCATACAGGCCTGAGGCTGCTTTCCCAATCTCTCTGGAGCTTGCACACAAACAGCTGGGAGGGCCTTGGCCCCTTCAGCAGAGGGGGCAGCCCCAGACCAGGAGGTGTACCACAGGCAGAGCCACCCACCTGGGGTGCACACACTACCAGGGGCCCCATTCTGGCTCCAGGACACCGCTCAGCTCACTTTCTCATTCCTAGTGCTCTGCTCCCCGGAAACCAGAGCAACCACAGTCACCTACTTAAGCAGCAGGCATTGGGGCAAACAGCTAGAAACTTAACTAAGCCCAGGGTCCCCCGGAGCCCTGTACTTGGCTCTCCTGCCATCTCCAGAAGCAATGGCAACTTTCCTAGCTGGTGTACCCAAATGCTGGGGCAATGACGGGGGTCTCAGATACCAGCGCCAAGCACTCGTGGTTTTGTTTCTATATCCTGCACGCCTACAGCTTCAGAAACCCCAAGGCAGTGCTTCTTAAACTACAGAAGAGCTCATCATAAAATGAGCTCTGGGTCCTGCACCATGGGGCCATCTTAAAGTCTGGGCCTGGCCCAGGACTCTGCACCTTAGCATGTGCCACGGGAATGCCCACAGGTGACCGGGTGAGCAAGCCCATGAGACACTGCGCCAGGACTCCTGGATGGTCTGGAGAAGCTCACCCCCTGGACATCACGTATCCAGGCTTCAGGGCAACCCCATCCTCCACCACCCAGTTCTCCAGGGTCATAACACAGGTGAACCAGCTGCACTCCCCAGAAAGGACGTGCAAGGAGACACCCAGGTGATGGCCAGGGAGCCCCCAGCATGGATGGGGGTCAGAGAGTGGGGGAGGGTCTGCAGATACCCAGGGTCCAGGGCAGGAGAGACGGGGTTCACATGGGCCTCTCCTGGTGGCACATGAGGCTGCCTCCTCAGTGTCTTACAAGCTCTGCCTCAGGGGTGACCCACCAAGCACCCGACCCCACAGTCCTCCCCTCTGGCTCCACCCCTGCAATCTGGAGACACTGCCCAGTGCAAGGCTCAACCTGCCAGGCCTCATAACTACTACAGCCCTTTACCCTGCTCCTGACTTAGGTACCAGGTGCCAGCACTTAGGCTGAGGCAAGACCAACTAAAGAGATGCCCTGGGGACTCCAGGCTTAGGGCAGTTAGTGATTACATTTCTTTCAACTAAAGGCCTGCCCTGGGCCTGAGGCTAGTGTCACCTATGGAATGTGCCTCTCCCTGTGCATTTCCCACACTATGCTCTGCACTGTTGTACACAAACTTTCAGAAACTTATGAAAAAAATGAGGGCTGTGTGACTGGGTAACTTCAAAGAGAGCTCAGCAGGACAGGGTCATAAGGAGGAGCAGAGGCCAAAAATCCAGGGTCTTATCTGAAATCCGATTTTAACTATGGAAAAAATGTGGAGCACCACAGGGCCAGAGCATGTTTACAAAGCAGATTCTCGGTCCAAGACACAGCGGGTCGCTTGGCCATTATTCAGTATCTTCAGGAGGAAAGGCCACTGGGGACTGAGGTTCAAAGAAAGGAGCTGGCTCAGAAGCCAGGGCCCTCAGCTACGGAGGCTGGGCCCCGCCATCCAGGGTAGGGTTTGCCTGCTTCACGTCTTATTATGTCGATTTCCTCAGTTCATGTGAGAGTAATGACCAACAGTGGCAGGCAGGCAGTGTCCCAGGTAAGACCCCAACATTTTGGTGTCCCTGGGCCACACTGGAAGAAGAGTTGTCTTGGGCCACACATTAAATACACTGCAACACGTAATCATACACAAAAAATAACGTTTTAAGTAAATTTATGATTTTGTGTTAGCTTGCATTCATAGCCATCCTGAGATGCATGCGGCTGGCCGGCCCCAGGTTGGGCACCCGGATGCCTTCTGGATTGCTGAGCCCGCCCAGATTTTAATCTGCATCCCGAGACTAGCAGACACCCTGTGATCTGACCACACAGTTTGCACCTGGACCACTTCACTGGCTTCTCCAGGACAATCGTTTCAGACGGGGAAGTAGCCACGACCCTGAGAATAGTTCTTCTCTAGTTCACGGGTTGGACAGATCCACTCAGGAAAGGGCTGCGGACACACTGCCCAGGCTCTGAGACAACTTCCAGCGCACTCAGTGCTAAGCACTGAGCTGACAGCCTCCTAATCAACTTAGGAGGCGATGAATGGGCGGGCACCGGATGTCAGAGCTCGGGGCCAGGACCACGCTCCTGGTGGGAGGGGCAGCCGATGCTCCCCGGCCTCTTGCGTTTTCCCGCCAAAGCGGCGCGCGCGCAGTGCCAGGGCGGTTCCAGCAGTCCAGGGAAGGCACCCGGGTCCGCGGGACCAGAGGAGGGTCGGGGTGGCGCTTACAGCACCAACCAGCGGGACCGCTGGGGAGATGACCGGAGGTGAGCCCGCCGCGCCGCGGTGGTTCAGAGCGTGCGCGCCGTGACCACTTGTCAGAAATGCTGTAGTGGCAGAAATGCGTCGGGCGGGCTAGCATGGGGTCCACACGCGGGCCGTGGCAGAGGTGGGGCTGCGCGTGGGGAACATGGCCACAGCGGACAGGAATGGGTTTGTGACACCGTGCGCTTAGGCTGCCCCACACGCAGACCCCAGCCTGCGCCTCCTGCATTCATCTCTGAGACTCCGGCCCGCACCCTCCGCCGCACTTACTTCAGGGTCCCCCATCACCCCCAGCCCCTGGCCCGCGCCTCACCAGGAGCGTGGCGTCCCCAGCCTGCTTCCCTGTGCTTTCGCCCCTGAGAACCGGAACCCATGTCTTCAACTTTACCCCGCGCCCCAAGCCCACATCCTTCTACATTCACCCCTAGGGCCCAGAACTGGGGCCCTTGCATTCACCTCTGAGACCCAGAATCCGTGGCCCCGGCCAGTCTCCCGCCCGCGTCCCTACATCTCGAGCCCCGCAAGGCAATATTACCTGGGCGGTGCACAGTGGTGCCGGCTAACCAATTCTGACCACACAAGCTGAGCGCGAACTACAGGGCCCAAAGTGACCCGCGGCCGCGGGCGCTGCCGGGAAATAAGGGGGCGCCCCTACAGCTAGCCACACCCCTTCACGACTGGAGATCCAGTTCGCGAACTGTGGTCTCATGCACCCTGCGCACACCTTGAGCGCGCCTGCGAGCGGAGCTGTCACCTCGCGAGACCATACATGCGTGCATTTTGCATCTCGGATCACAGTTCCCTGACCGGCCTCCGTCACCTCCCCAGGTCACGCGGCTCCCTCGTGGAGCATGCCTGGGCGCCGAATGTTGGGCACGGCCCACCCCCGTATGTCCTTCGGACCCCGGCTGCAGCCCCCACTGGACCACCCTCCCGGAGCCTCCTCCCTAAGTCCCCCCCGGGTTTCCCCTTACAGAGCCCTTGAGCCCCTCACTGGAACACCCCAGCCCCCAGCCACAGACCCCACTGGCCCATCCCTCCCAGAGACCCATCCCGGCGTCCGCTGGGTCACCCGCCCCCGCCCCCGCCCCGCGCCCCCCGGCTGTAGTCCCCACAGGGCCACCCCTCCCAGAGCACCTGAGCGCCCACTGGACAACCCTTAATACAGGCCCCCTCGGAAACCCCTCCCCGGGCCGCAGCCTCCATTGAACCACCATCTCCCACCTCGCCCCCGGGGGGCGCAGCCCTCCCAGAGTCCCCTCCGGAGCCCCCTCGAGCCTACCCACACGGCGCCCTGGTCACAGCTTGGGGACGTCCCAGAAGCCGTCTCGGACCGATCTGAAGGTGAGCTCTCTCCCCACTACCCCAGCTGTGACCGCCCCTTGGAGGAGTGCCGGCCCCCTGGCCCCTGCCCGCAGCCCCGCCCTGCCTCGCCTGCCACCCTGAGCAAGAAGTTCATGTGCTTTTTCTTTTAGGCTTATTTTAAAAACGTTCCAATCCAGGCTTGCCCACAAGCTCCAGCCAGAGACACTGGTCACTGTGCCAGGCAGGACAGGACTGTTGGGGTTTGACGGAGTTCTCCCTTCCCCCAGCGCAGCCTGTGCAGTTCACCCTGACCCACATTTGGGCTGGTGGCTGCCTCCGGACTACAACCAGGCACGGACACCTGATCTTGGGGGGACAAACAGCAGCCCCCCCCCCGCCCCCCACCCCCACCACACACACACACACACACACACACACACACACACTTGGCATATGCCCAGTGCCTGGGCCCAGCTGGTACTTCCCCTGAGTTCCCCAACTGCCCCTCAGGACTGAATGAACCAGTCAGGTTCTGTGCAGAGCCGCAGGAAGTTGAGGGCGGGGAGGGGAGGGGTGAGGGTGGTCCAGGGCTATTCAGCAGCAACCCCCTCACCAAGGAGAGTTAAGTGGGAGAGAAGCAGTTGCAGGTCCCAGGCTGTACTACCCAGCAGGTAGCGGGCTGCAGCAGGACACATGCAGGGAGGAAGATAGCGGGAAAGGCCTGCTGGCCGCCAGCCATTCTAAGAGGCACTAGAGGTCAAAACTCCAGTGCCTTGCACAGCACACAGGAAGTGGTCACTGTAGTCACTCTACCCTGGCCAATTTGCACAGGACCGAGGCCTCACCCATGGGGAGGAACAGAAACAAATGGGGGTAGGGATACAAAGGCAAAAGGGAGCCATATTACCTGGGTTGGCCCCCCTGTAAAATTCCCCCACCACCCACCCCAGAAGGAAACAGCAGATTTCACCGCTTGCCCCCTCCTACTCCCACAGCCAGCTCACCCCTCTGGACTGGGCCCCCGTCTGCGGTGCAGTGAGGTCCATAACACATGATGGGCACTGGCCTCTGGGTCACTGGACAATAAGCTCCGCCCTCTAGGCTGCCTGCAGGTTGGGGCATGGGGAGGTTGGGAGTTACCCAGGCTGTGATGCTCAGGCTTGAGGAATCGTGGGGAGCCCTCAAGTGCCCCCACTGCTTTCCCCTTTTCTCTGCTGGGAGGGGAGGGATCAGGAGCCTGGTCTCACAACTCAGGAGCATCCACTGTGGCCACATGCTACCCAAAACGCAGGCACAAGGGGATTTGGCCACCAGGTGCCCAGTACCAGAGAGTCATTTCTGCCCACGATCTGGCCACAACAAGGAACTGGGGTCATCTTCTGGCCAGAGGACAGTAGGAGCATCTGCTCACCAGACCCACCAGGGCTGTGTGAAGACTGCTGGGTCTCCTAGTGTGTGGGTGCCTGTCCAAGACCCCCAAGAACTTGGCCATGGACCCTATTCAGGGGTGACCAACCTGGGGCCCATGGGCTGCGTGCAGCCCGGGATGGCTATGAATGCAGCCCAACACAAAATCATAAATTTACTTAAAACATTATGAGATTTTTTTTTTTTTTTTTTTTTTTTTTTTTTGGTGATTATGTGTTGCAGTGTATTTAATGTGTGGCCCAAGACGCCAAGAGGTTGGACAATTCTTCCAGTGTGGCCCAGAGACACCAAGAGATGTGACACCCCTGCATATACATGAACGGGTGGTCACCGGCTGCTTCAGCCTTGGATTGATGAGAGGCCTTCAAAAGGGCTTCTAAGTGGGGTCTGACATGGCTCTTGAGCGGTAAGGAGAACTGAAGAGGGTGCACACTCCCTGGCAGACCCCCGTCCATGTTCCCCTCAGTCCATGCTGGCTCTTCCACACAGGCCTCCTCCATGGGTGTGTGCAGTCCAGTCACCCACAGGCCCCACTCAGCAAACTGAAGAGACAAAGCAAAGGGGCATCTGTCCCTCCCTCTCCATGCCTGTGTGTAGGTCCCACCTGAGGGACCCTGCCTATTGACACGGGGACCAGCTGGGGTATGGGCCAGGCCAGCAGGGCAGCCCTTCCGAGAGCAGGGTGGAGCTGCTACTAGAAAGAGAGGAGTGGAAAGCAAGACAACTGGCACAAGGGACAGCATGTGTCACTGACTCTCATGAGGGCTCGGCGAGAAGAACCCTGCCCCTAGGAGCAGGGTGATGGGCTCGACAGTCTGGCCTGGGGACTGGAGGGGCGGCGCCCACAGCAGACACAAGCATGCACAGATGCCCACAGAACAGTCTTTCCGTGCTTCCCCCTACCCCCCTAGCAATGAGGACCTGGGGACCCGTGGCTTCCTCCCTCTGGTCTCTCCCCTGGTGGTATTTCTGTGGCATATGTGGAGCCAAATAAAATGCTGACTTCAGCAGGCTTTTCTCCAATCCCCCGGCTGACTAGCTGCCATGCCAGCCAGGGCTTCTAGAAGTTTCCTGGCCACACAAGGCCCAGGGTTCCTACGGGAGCTGTGTGCCTGGGGGACCACGGGTGGAGGGGCCTTGACTGCCGCTGCTCCCAGAAGAGCCAGCCAGGGCTACTGGGCATGGCAAAGCCTCAGTGACAGCGCCCCACGGGAGTTAGACCCTGGAAGCAGCTCTCCAAGGGAAGAGTGGATGGTCCTGGGGGGACAAAGAGCTTCCAGAATTTTTGATGTGATGTCTGCTGTCAGAAGCAGCCACAGGAGCCAGGGCATTGGCCTCAAGAGGCTCCATAGGGGCAGCTGGTAGAAAGTGTAACCACCAAACAGAGATGCACAGAAACCAATGTTTTGAGGCGAACGTCACTTTGGAGAATGGACCCTGTGTTTTAGTCACTGTAGCTTTAAGTGTTTCTCTGTGCTTAATAATCTATTCCCCAGGCATGTAAGGACTGGCTTCAGGGTGGGGATAGCTTCTGCAAGGGGCACAGAGGGAGCAAGAGCTGGTCCCTGGGTGGATCCACAGTCGGGATGGCCTGGCATTACCCACCCCCAGCCTCCTCATCCATGGGCTCCAGTCACACTGCTCACAGGGTACGTAGGGTCTGTCTTCAGGCCCACGGAGACCCCATTTCCTCCAAAGGAGCTCAGATGGCCTCTTGAGTCGTACTGTGAAGCAGCGCCCAGCCCAGCCGACCCTGAACCACCCAACACTGCTTCCCCCGACCCTGAAGAGGCGCCCCCAACTCACCACCTCCTGGAACTCCTCCCAGAATGTCCCCCATGCCCCCAACACCCTCACCTTCCCCAACATGAGGAAGTGACTGACAACCGACAGTCCAGGTCAAGACAGCGAGGGGTCAACCCTCCAGTCTGGGCTCTCTCAGGCCCTCCTCCCAGCAAGATTTCAAGAGGACCTTGACCTTGGGTATCAGTGGGCACTGGAGTTAGGGGCTTGGCTGTGGGGCAGCAAGAGCAGGAGCATCTGGCCCAGCCCCAACCAGGTGTGCACAGAGTCGCCTGAGCACAGTTTGAAACAAGCATTCTGGGGGTGAGCCATAGACATCTGAGGGCACAGGACCTGCCTGTCCTCAGCCTGTCCCACCTCTCAAAGCCTGAAACATGAGAGGTGACGTGGCTCACCCCTTCTTGAAAGGTACAACCTGCGCCCGATTTGAACACAGCTGTCCTTGCTCCCCAGCCTCAACGGAAGTCTCCTGCAGGTCACCCAGCCCCCACCTCTCCCAGGCTCCAGCACAGCCAGAGGTGGACTCCCCCTCCCGGCAGCCAGCTGCTGCCCAGGCCCCTCAGGCGCTGCCAGGAGTGCTGGCCTCTAACCTAGGGAGACGGCCCACTCCCCAGCTCCCAAAAGGAGGGACCAGGGGATGGGGTTTGGGAGAATGGCCTTGAGCTGCACTTAGGAGAGAACAGGGAAGAACGTGATTATCTCAGGAAGCTGAGGAACAGACTGTCCTCTTTTACAAGATGCCCAGTGTGGAACTGCTGAGGATAGGAGTCAGGCTGACCTCTGCCTTCTGCTGAATAAGACCGAACTCAGAAGCTGGGGGTCAGGGCAGGGGGTGGAGAGAAGAAGGAGGGAGAGAGACAGGAAGAGGGAGAGACACAAAAAGAGAGGGAGAAACAGAAGGAGGCGGAGGGATAGGACATGCGGGCCGGTGCTCAGCGCTGCAGGGACAGAAGGTCATGCACTGACTTAACATACCTTGTCTGTTGCACAGCCAAGTGGCTTCTGGCCTGGAAAGTGGGTGGGATAGCCCGTGCCTTTCCCACTGCCTCGGATTCTGTTGTCATATGTCAGCTATAGAAGCAGGGCTGAGACCAAATGCTCACACACACACACACACACACACACACACACACACACACACACACACGCTGCGGGCACCCCAAAAGCACCTCGAAAAGGTTTCCCCCAAGGGTACCCAAGGACCATCCTCATGGCTTCTGGCCACGGAACAGCCTTCTCCAAGAAGATGGTCTGGCCGCCAGCTCTCACCTTGGCACTGGTCCTCAGGGTGGAGGGGGCCTGACGGTCGTTCTGCACCTGTGTCTTCATTCACCCTTCACCATGAAGTGCATTCTGGCCTCTGGTGCCTGAAAGATGTCAGTGAGGATGTTTGAAGGGCCCAGGCAACCACCCAGGAGTGGATCTGGCCCTTCAGAGGCTAAGTGTCCCCAGGAAGGCCCACAGCCTGTGCCTCAGTGTTCTACTTACAGCAGTACAGGCTTATAAAGCATCAATTTATTGAGGTGCAATTCACATGCAGTAAATCGCACCTGCTGTATGTGGTTCAGTGCTTTCTGACAACACACCCTTTCACCATGTACCCAAACACAGACCACTTCCATCCTCCTAGAGCCCAGCCCCTTCCCACCCACCCCGAGCCCCAGCACCAAGCTGCTTCTTGGACAGTTCTACAGGCAGGGGGACTCAGCAGTGTTTCTGGGACTCACCTGGCAGTCCTTCCCTTGTTGTTCTAAGTGATCTTCATTATATGATCTATCCTTCATTCCCTGATGGACATTTGGGCTGTTGCCCATTTT